CTAAACCCCTAAAGCCCTTAACCCCTAAACCCAAAGCCCCCCGCGGGTTTCCAAGGTTCTACCTCTTCTTCACCCCTGCCTGCGGTGTGATGTACAACTGTGGCTGCCGGCTTTTCCCCGCCAAGTACGGCCAGGCGTCCTTGAAGGAGCTCTTTTCTGCATCCAGGGGGGTCTTATACAGTTTCTCGGGGTTTTTTGGGGTTTAGAGCCTACTTGAAGGTTTAGGGGCCTATGGCCTATGGTACGTAGATTCTAAGTGGGGTTATCATGAGAATTATAGTGCTTAATAAGGTCCCAGCAAGCCTTTTTGAAATCGTGGTTTCACCGCTGAGTCTGCGACGATCTGCGACTTGGAGTTACATTGGCTTTCCGAATTTAGAGGTTTAGGGTTTGGGGTTTTGCGGTTTAGGGCCTAGGGTTTGGGGTCTCACGGGATTTGTGTTGCGAGGCCTTAGGATTCCCCAGACCCTCCGGCCTCAAATCTATGCCCCAAACTTGAGACCTTCGGCCAATAGCCCAAACCCTGAACCCCCCTATAAAACCTGCAGCCCAAGCCCCCAAAAACCTGAATTCTGAACCCGCCACCATAGAGCCGAAAGCCCTGGCGAGGGTCTTGCTGAGGATCAAGTCAACTGAGCAAAACCCCGAAGCTCCGCACCCGAAATTCTCTGAACCAAGGGGTTTAGGGTTTAGGGTTCAAGAGTAATCGGGGCTCGTATCCCAAACCCAAAGCCCAACCGATAAACCCCAAATGCACCATCGGTGTCAGCACAAGCTATCTGCCCAGCACCAGCAGCAGTTCGACACTGTCACCTGCGCACCCGTGAATCCGAATCCCACCTACCTTAACCTACCAAAACCTAGTTTTTTGTAGGTTCTCATTATAAACCCTAATATGGAATTTATAGGGACCCTACCAAAAAAGTAGGTTTTGGTAGGTTCAGGTATGCACTACCCAAGCCCGAAGCAAAACCCTGAAGCATCCGAAAAAAGCAACAGCTCCAAAGCCAAACACCCAAATGAGACCCAGGCCCTCAATCAAAAGAGAGCCCAGAAGCTCCATCCTGCGGGAGGTCTCCACGTGTAACATCTTCACTCCGGGTCAGCCGCCGGAGCACAAGCCGAGCTCCAAGGAGGGGCCTTCTAAGAGGCTTTTAGAGGGTTTGGTAATTAGAATAGGGGTTTTGGGGGCTCCTTGAAAGGGTTCGATAAGGGCTACTATAAGGGTTTAGGGTTTAGAGGGGCTTAATAATTAGAATAGGGTATGGGGGTATATTTTACTATAATTATAACAAGGAAACCCCAAAACCTTGTTCTAATTATTAAGGCCCCGACATTAGGGTTTCGGTTTTAGGTGAATCTGTAGGTCTGGAAAGCTGGCCGGGCTTTTGGATTGGCAGAGGGTCGGGCGTGTAGGGTTTTATCATGATCTGACGTGGTTCCACCTGTTTGTTAAAGGACTTTGGGTCTTGTGGTTGTCCTCGCTGTCCACTACACAAAATCTTGGACATGGGATTAGATGTTTGGCCCCGTCCCGTGTTATTGCTGCACGATTGCTATTGTGATCACCAATGACATTACTGACTAGAATGACGATGTCTATTACTATCCTCATGACCAGTGCTATCATTGTACGTATAATGACGAGGACGTTTCAACCACTCCTGATTCTTCGGAGGTCCGCACTTAAGTTGAGGACGCTGGAAAGAGGCTTTACTGTTGGGATCTACGGCGTGGAGGGCTTTAGGCTGCGAAAGAGCAACAGTGCTGGTTCAGGCGTCGAGTGGCACGGAGAGTCAAACATAAGAGGTCAAGCAGATGCTTGAGTAGATCGATCAGACCATGCGACCAGGATCTTTTTCGTAAGGCTGAAACCTTCGACGGTCGCAGCTTAGAGGACTCTGAATCTAAGTCGGAGCCAGGACCTTCGTGTTCAGCAGCTGTGTCTCGTGTGAAAATGTTTCCGCCCCGAACTTGCTGAGTGCGAGCCTTGATGGAGCGGAACACCATTATATAGTATCCTTTAGTAAACTTTAGTATTGCAAAGAGGCTATTCTGAAAGAAGCCTTTCTGCCATGGTCATGTCCAGAACTGACCATTCCTATCAGGTTATCCGATCTCGGGTAGCGTTTGGATCAGAGGCACGGCTGTGACAAAAAGGGGCTTGGTTTGCACTTGTGCTTAGCATGGAGCCCGCCGGTCTCCGCAACAGCAAGCCGCGGGCTTGCCGGTTTCTAATAGTCGTTGTCCTGGTTTCGGGCTTGGCGCCGGTTTTTGTTCCATGGTTGAACAGAAGCTGGGGGCATCCTTCAGCAAAATTTCGTTGCCAGAGCCGCAACGTGGAATGCCGAGCCATTCCGAAGTGCGAAGATGTGGAGCTACCATATGATGAAGAGCAGTCTCTTGCGGTGGAGAGGGTGGTGCAGGCCTGGGGACAAACGAATCGTTTCGAGGACCTCGCTGAGAGTCTTGGTTTAGGGTTTAGGGTTTAGGGTTTAGGGTTTAGGGGTTTAGGGGTTTAGGGTTTAGGGTTTAGGGTTTAGGGTTTAGGGTTTAAGGTTTAGGGTTTAGGGTTTAGGGGGAGGAGGTGAGGTGCCTCGTAGACGAGCACGCACGAAAGCTCCTACGCAACTGCACGACCAGAGTCGTTGGATCATACCAGCGCGATGTTCACAACAAGGATTTTTCAGATGTGGACTTGCACATCCAAGATCTCATTCGGGGAGACATTACTCCGGAAGAGTCGGAATCCCTGGGCGGCCTTCTTGAGCATGACCCGAGAGTGGACAGCCTCGAGCGGGGGAGTAAAGCACTTCACTTGCGAGTTTTTGGTATGGAAGTCGACGTGGTTTGCAGAGATCTCTTCGATGGTGATTCGCAGTTACATCGCCAGGGTCACATCGACAAATTGGAGCAGCTGTACACGGATTATCCCGGTGCCAGGAATGCTGCTCGAGTTGCCAAGTGGCTTTTTCGGGATCTGAAGGGGCTGGATGTTGAGTATATAGTATATGACTTGGCGCGGTTGTGATAGAGCTGGGTAGTCCTGCGCAGAGCAGATACTCTTCATTAAGGGAGTTGGAGAAGAAGGCTCTATCTCAACGGGGCAGCGGGACGACCCTGGACTTGGACCGTTCCTTGCAAAGGAGCCAAGTTCTTGCAAGCTCGATCCATCAGATGCGCTCCGTCATGAAAGCGCCCAATTCATCCAAACCTTTGGAGGAGTTTTCCTTGAGATGTTGGCTGATACAATACAAGTGCCTTGGAGGGACTCGGAGGTTCGATGGTGGGGCAACTATACAGGTGCGATCGGACGTGTCGCTGTCCCCAGAAGGTGCGAACTTCGGTGCCTCGATCGCTCCAGGCTTGGGGGCACATCGCAAGACAAAGAGTGAGGCACTGAGCCCGAAGCCACAGCTCAGAATCGATGGAGGGGCCGGCAGCAGCAACGTCGGCATTAGTTCAGGTTCGGCTCTTTCACCCAGTGTAGCTCAGTCAGAGAGGAGAGGACGAGGCAGGCGTGGCAAATCGTCAGCATCCCAGCCCAAAACGATGGGCGAAAAAATATTACTTATTTTTGATGATATGCTCTATTGCATCGAGAAGTACGATCTCGTCGAGAATTACGATCTCATCGGCCAGACGACACCTCCGGAGCGAAAGTTTGTCAACGGATGTTGCTCGTCTGTGGATGACTTCCTGCAGATGGCAACCAAAAAGAAGAAGCAACAACGCTGGAAGGAGCGAGCCATGCCAGCAGGACTGCATGAAGTGAAAACTCGCATGTTGAAGCTGGGCATGGAGTCCTGCAGCACGATGTACAGCCAGGTGCTTGGCATGGATGTGAAGCCGTTGTGGGCAAAGGCGGGTTTGTTAGCGTTGTTGAGTTGGTGGATGACCACCGTACAGGCAGCTGATGCACGGGGTAGCTGAGGGCTGTCAGCGACCCCGTGCCGGACTATCATCCTGGTGTTTGAAGGCTGCGAAGTCAGTCGCCAGTCATCGCTAGTTGGACAGCCTTCGTGAGCAAGGCATAAGATAGATATCCAAAACCAGAGGTACTTGTTGTTTAACAGTTTAACCTAGGCTTAATTAGGCCCTGTGTGCAAACATCAGTTACAGCCTCAGGTGCCCTTGGTGCACCTGCCAGGGTATTTCCTGCCTCTTCGTGGCGCCCCAGCTGCATTTTTGAGGGGCTGGAGTTCCCAGCTGTGAATTAAAAGTTTCCAACTTTGGCTTAGGGTTGTGGTCAGGGGTTTAGGGTAGTTTAGGGGTTCCGTTTGGGATGTCGGGGTTGGGCGGCAGGTGATGAATTTCAATTCTTGTGGTCGACGATCGCCTAAACCCTAAACCCTAAACCCTAAACCCAAACCTTAGACTGTACTTAAGCCGTAGGTTTAGGCATCCGAGCGATGTGATGACACCTACGCAGTTCAAAGAGCAGAGACCCGAAGCCGGGATATCCCAAGCATTCGGCTAGTAGGTTTAGGGTTTAGGGTTTAGGGTCGATGAACATGCAAAGCGATGCCTCGATTCAAAGGTAATTCTTCCTGTAAACGCTGATGCCCTCAATTAACCATGGCAACCGTAAGCCCTAAACTTCATAAGCTACAGCCAATACACCCTACGCCCTAAATCTGTATAGCCTATAGCCTAACCCTGTAAACCCGAAGCCCAAAGCCCTATAAATCAGAACCTATAAACCCTAAAGTCCCAAGACCCCACAAAGAAAACATAAATCCGCGACCCTGGAGTGCAAAAGCAGCTCTCCGCGACTGCGAAAGAGCAGAGCCCCTTTCCCAGAGACTCCAATACCTCTAATTAAGGAATATACCTTAAATTTTTGTAGGATCCCTGTTGGAGTCTCTGGGTTGTTCTCTTGGAGGGGGGCGGGTTTGGGGTTTAGGGGTTTAGGGGTTTAGGGTTTAGGGTTTGGGGTTTAGGGTTTAAGGTTTAGGGATTTAGGGATGTCTAGGGTTTTCGTCTTAGGGGTTGGCTCTGGGCTTTAGTTACGCATTTTTCTTAATACGGGGTTTGTTCTAGGGTCTGGTAAGGTTTGAAAGCAGGGTATTGGGGTATTTGCATCTAGAGATGCCGAAACTTCCAAACCAAAGCCCTAGAATAACCCTATACCCTCTGAACCCGCGTAGCAGCGCCCCAAGGCTCGCTTCAACAACGAAACAAAACAAAGAACTCTGAAATGTGATACCGGGGGCGGAGTAGTTATCACTGGGATTCCGTATTAGGAGTCCCTTGATGTTAGATACTCGAATATACGATGCACCTACATGGGTAGTGCTCTAAATTAGCGTCCCTTTTTAGGCCCCAAATACAGTACGGCACCCTTATAAAAAAGGACCCCCAAAGGGACCCTAGTTTAGAAAACTACCCCCCTAAACCCTAAACCCTAAAACCTAAACCCTAAACCCTAGAACCCTAAACCCCTCAGTCCTGTCCCTACGGCACTCTTGCACACGGAGGCCTTCGACACTCGCGCCTTCAGGCTCCACCCTGGGTTTGGGGTTTAGGGTTGATGGTTTAGGATTTCGGGTTTAGAGTTTAGGGTTTAGGGGTTTAAGGGTTTAGGGATTTGAATTTGGGTTTAGGGTTTAGGGTGCTTTCACAGGGGTTTCTACAGGCTTTCAGCGGGTTTGATAGGGTTTCCGAGGTTTCCATACGGTTTTGGAGCGTCATAGGGTTTTGTAGGGGTTTCGTTTTTTTTTTTGGCGGGTCGGCCGCAAGTACCGCCTCGACAAGCTCTGTACCCCTACATAACTCTTCATCTCTAATTAACATACCTCCCCCAGACAGGGCCGAGTGACGGGCGACAAGAGCGCCCAGGCGATTCCTCGCGGCTCTCCGATTGCCAAGCGAACTGTCGGGCAAGGCGAAGGTGACTTCTGTCCGAGAGAGTCCATCTTCGGGGAACTCGTTGCTGGCAAGCAGCAGCGGCGTAGACAGTGATTCGGAGCAACCTGTCTGCCTGCAGGGGAAGACTACGAAGACATGATCGCAAGCATCAAGGGCTGAGGTTGTGGACAAACATCGCGGCCCTGTCCAACGGCCTCCGAGGGCAAGGCCAGTGGCCAGTGAAGGTCGATTGGGTTGTGACGTCTGTGGACAAGCCCATTGTGCGATCTGCAATGGTGGAGTAGATAATTTAGGCCGTGCTATATATATATATATATATATCCCGTTTGAATCAGTATCAGCTTCAGTATCCCACTCAGCCCTAAACCTCCGCTTGTATTGTCCGAAAAGGAGCAGGGTTTCCTAATCAGCAGTCTCGACTCCGAAACCTTGAGTGCCCCGCACTCTTGAACTCCACAACCACATGTTTAGGGTTTAGGGTAGACAAGACTTAGTCCTGAAACCTAAACCACTCAAGCCCACATTGCAAACCTCAAAACCTGAGCCTTGAAAATTTAGAAGTCACAGCCGCTAAGCTTGAAGCCGAAACCGTAGAACTTAAAACTCTTGACCGAGTCTGAGTCCTTTTTCTTACGCGGTACAACCTGGCCACGCACCAGGCCCAGAAGCCAAACAATCCTCACCCTAAACCGAAAGCCCCTGATCTCCCTAAACCCTAAACCCTAAAACCCTAAACCCTAAACCCTAAAACCCTAAGCCCTAAACCCTAAACCCTAAACCCCTAAACCCCTAAACCCTAAGCCCTGATCCTCCAACCGGCAGTTCAACCGTCATAATTGCACATAAACAGCCTTCCAATGATTAGGGGGAGCAGTGTAAGCATCAATAGGTACCCCAACTTATTAAATGCTTGTACAATGCATGATAAATCCTGTTGCAAGAAGCCTAAACCCTGAACCCGAAAAGACTTGTTCGAACTCAGAGGCCTTTTCAGAGAAGCCCGGCCTGCGCATTCGATACCAGGAATGTCCCACTTTTAGACCTCATTCCGGATGGCTGCGTTGTGACGATGATCACGGCTGCCGGGACTTCATATAGGGGTCGGAATGGTTAGCATTAGTCAACCCTCAGCGTTTTTACTACTAAAGCAAAACCTGCCGCAAAACCCTACTCTGATTGTTCTAGTCTACCCCGCCCCCGCCAACAGCCTAACAACAAAAAGTGTTCTGCGCAAGTCCCGCCCAGTTTCCAAGAAAATGCGTTGAGAAAGACTAATGTAGGGTCCTTATTATAATTATGGTATTATATACCACCAAAACCCTATTCTATTATCAAGGCCCCTAAACCCTAAACCCTTATAGTAGCCTTTATAGAACCCTTTGAGGAACCGTTTAAAGGAGCCTGGGTCTTGGGGTTTTGGATGTCAGGGCTTCGGAACCCTCAAACCGGAACCTGCGAGCTGCGGGTCGTGAGCCCGAGCCCTTCAGGTTCTCAAAGCTCGCAGTCCTCTAAAGGGTCCCTAAACCCTAAACCTTGATCCCTAAAGCCTAAAAATCCCTAAACCCTAAACCCTTAACCCTAAACCCCTAAACCCCTAAACCCTAAACCCTAAACCCCAAACCTAAGGTCCGAACCCCCGAGACCTGAAACCCCAAACCCAAAACCGAAAGCAACCTAAAGGGTCCCTTTAAAAAAAGTTTAGGGTTGAGGGTTTAGCGTTTAAAATGAAGGTTTAGGGTTTGCCCCAGGGCCTAGGCTCGTTTAGAAGCGCCTGCTTCGAGTTTTCGGCTCTGTTCACTTCGCTCCTGGGCGTTGTTCCATCTTACGTAGTGTTACTAGGCAAATAAGCCCTCAGCGCCAATAGCCTTCATAGGAACCACAGCAGCAACTTTTCCTGAAGGCCCTCTTTAGTAGAGGTAGCCCGAAGTCGAAGCACCCCCACTGGTCCAAAAACCGAAACTTCAAGCCGCTTGGGTGCATGCCCTGCTCAGGTAGGGATCCTAAATCCTGATACCTGAAGCGTTGAACTGAACCGTAAAACCCTAAGCGCAAACCCTAAAACCCTAAACCTTAAACCCTAAACCCTAGAACCCTAAACCCTGAACGCTAACCAGTGAAACTTTAACGCCCAAGCCCTAAAACCCTGGCCATGCTCAGGTTGGGATACTCTACTTCGCCTTTACGCGAACTGACAAGCTTCTGAAGCCGAGGCAGGCACCGGGTTCTACATTCTCGAGGGTTTAGGGTTTAGGGTTTAGGGTTTTTCTATAAGGCTTTGTATTTTTTGTTATTGGTTTCGGATTTGGGGGGGTTTAGGGTTAAGGAGCCCTAAACCCCCAACCCTAAGCCCTAAATCCTAGAATCGGGTTTTGGGGTTTAGGATTTTTATACTTCGAGACCTTGTTAGAGCAGTTCAAGCGTTGGCCCTTGCGGACCATGGTTTAGGAGGCCTCCTAGGCCCAAAATCTTCAACCCTGCCTGCTAAGAGGCTCAAGAACCTTGAGCCCAAGCCCACTGTCACAGGGTTTCTAAGGGCTTTGCAGATCTTCATCCGGTCTTAAGGTTAGGGTTGAGGTTCTCGGATGGCCTCCTCGGGAGATAGGCTGCCTATGGCATGCGCTTTACAGGGTTTGCATAGGGTCTTTTTCAGATTTGAAAGGGTGACCCTAAACCCACCCTCATGTGTTCCTGGCCTGTGATTTCGGGATTCAGGGTCTACGCCTCAAGTTCCCTCAAACCCCGAAAAGCCTTAATCCGACAAACCCAAGTATAGGGCCCTCTTACGGTTTAGGGTTTAGGGTTTAGGGTGTATGATAACTGGGCTTTGGAGTACCATACTTTAATACTTTTTTTGGACCTGTTCCTTAAAGGAGCCATTATGAAATAAAAGTCTATACTTTTTTCTCCCTGGTTACTTCAAAGCCCAGATAAGGTTCAAGATATACAAATATATGATGATAGCTATACACTCCAAAACCTCCTTTTGACTATTACCCTACACCCTAAACCCTAAACCCTAAACCCTAAACCCAAACCCTGAGCCCTAAACCCTACACCCTACA